TTTTTATGAAATTCTGTATAAACTATAGCCAGTATTTTTCTTGTGCATGAATATGTTTTTTTTCTTCAGTCCTGAAGTGTAAAAATAATAATAAATAATAAAATTCACAATATGTATTTTTAGGTTTATGTCACCTCCACTGGCCATAAAGGTTCATGAAAAGACCTTGAAAAGGCCCACGGACCGCCAGTTGATAATCACAGCTGTAGCTTATTTTGCAGCTCTGGACATATTTCATTAGTGAGGCAAGCAGCAGAAATGGCTTTTTTGATTATAAAGGTTGCAGACCCCTGCCCCAGGTGGACCATWGACCGACTGTGTAGGCTGTGAAATGAGACAGTCTAGCCTTTGGATGACTTGCATGACTACTTGCTATCCTCACAATAGTATATCACATCCCTTCAATAGGAACACGTTTTCATGTTTTTTTTTTTCACAGTATAACTTCACAAAATTAAATATTATGAAAAAAGTTATATGCAAATAAATAAAAAGCATTAATAATTTGGGTTTAGCTCCAATGTCAGTACTTGTCATTGCATTTTATTTAACAACTCTTTAAAGCAGAAATTTCATCAGCTAAGTTGCTAAACATACATTCAAACATGAATTCTTCTGTCTGTGATGACTTTCCAAACTGTGCCGTGAAAATTAAAAAGAAACCCTCTGCCATGTTCTTTTTGATATTTAGTTTGCTGACTGCGCAATAAACTCTGGGATATTGTTGGCCGTGTAGGACACTCAGATGCAGCCTACATTTTTGGGATTTTGTCGGCCACATGACTAGGCGGCCACAGAGTGGGACAGATTTATCTTAYGGTAGGGGGCAGTGATGCAAGCAGCTGACAAATGTGGGGTGCAAGCCCCGAGACACAGCCAATTTAAAATGAGGATATAGTGTCTGCAGTTTGCGTATGTTTAGGTTATACGTCTATCAATTAGCTACACCTGCTTAATCATGTTCAAGGTCACAGGGAGTTGGTGTATTTCTTGGCACCAGTTAGTGAAATTTCGGAAATGTCCTGAATGTACCAACAAATCATTACAGGTATTATTTATAAATACTATTTATATTTACATTACGGCAAAAACAGTTGTAACAAAGTGAATGAAGCAATTAATGTTTCACTGATGAAAGAATTGACTTAGGATTTCGGTGTTGTTTGTTGTAGATCCTATCAAAGTCTAAGATTTTGGAAAAACATATAGTTTAGTTTGAGTACTTTGTAATTTTTTCTGTACTAGCATGTTAAAACTTCAAGCATTTTAACTGAGCACAACAGCATGCTAACATTTGCAAAGTCAGCATGATTTAAATTAACTTGGGCTGAAAATACCATTGTGTGAATGGTTGTTGCTACTGCAGATTTGTCTCTATATATTGTAAACATAGTAGCTATTGATAATAATAATGATTTCCTTCAATAGTTTCTGAACTATTTCACTTAAAAACTGACATTTTAAGAGGGCTCTAGAAGATGAATGTGTCCTCAAAGGGCCAAGATCACCATCAGTCAATTAAATTTAAATCAGACAACTATACAAGTCAATATAGGAAATGTTAAATTAATTTTAGCTGATTTCTTAGGGGAATTCATGAGTGACAGCACAACCTTCTAACAAAAAAAACAGGAAGTGCCAACTAAAGTTAGATAAATGTGTCTTTTCCCCACGAGGACTTCACCTTTCAGTGTTGATCCAGCAGTTGTAACGCGGTTGCTGAGCCGCTGTGCCGGAGCCGGGGGAGCAGCGGAACAGAAGTGTGTGTTGCACGCCCTTGAAGTGACGGGGCTCTGGTGAGGCAGGCAGCCGGCTGCAGGGCGACCTTGCAGGAGACACTGGATGGTGCGAGTCTGAACCCCTCCTCCGCAGGACACAGAGCACTAAGAGCCAGGAGAAAAGTGCCAGAGAGGCAAGAACAAATGAAAAAAAAAAGAGGCACGAGGAGGCAATCAACAGGGGAGCTAGGATGAAATGAAACTCTGAAGCATGTAGAGTTAAAATCATGTTATGGAAGAAACTCTGGAGGGAGGGGCTGAGGTGGAGGGGGAAAAAAACTGCGCAGAGACAAAAAGCTGATAAATCCAAGTATCCCAAGCAGCATGTTCTCCCCCTCCAGCAAGTTGTCAGGAGATATCTTCTCCTGTCGAAACATGCAGGATCAAGCAGAATGAGGTGCTATGCTGTAAGAGGTAACCCCTAAGACTTTCTGCATAATAGATGATGCAACAGATACACCACACAACCTTACCTCAAACAGGCTCTGAACAAGTGTGAAGCTGTGGATTTCATCTGAGGCCTCTTCCCTGTAGCCGTTACTCTAATGCTGGCTAAGAATTAAGTTCTAGCCCCCCATGTTCCAGAAACAATATTACAGTGAACACAGCTTACATGGTCCCATGTCCAGTAGGTCTGGCTAAGTTTACAAATAAATTCTGAAATGATGAGAATAGCATAAAGGAAAATAAATTATGTGAACGCGTCTTCAGCAATTCTCACAAAATAGGTGCACATAGGTTTACTATTTGTGAGTCAAACTTAAGCCCAGTAAATGTCGACCAATCATAAAACCTGTGATAGAGCCAACTGTTTTGAGATCAGGAAACTAATGCCAGGTTCACACAACAAKATATTTTTGCAGATTTTTGGCTCAGTTGGGTCCTTCCAACAATCTTAAGAATGCTCCTATTAGTGATGGCTCTTAAATGAATCTTTGGAGATATTTTTTGCTGCGTGTTGCTCGGAAGGATTTYGAGACCGAAATCAGAAAGTGAGGTAACGTGAACACAGAGGGGAATCCAAAACATACAGTAGAAGACAAAACAACTGCCATGGTGCACCAGAAAGTTCACATCTTTTTTTTTCTATCTTTTTATTTTTGTCTTTTCTATGTTACAAATAGTCCACAAACTACCACCATTGCTTATTCCTTGTCGGCCATGTTTATTTACTCTGAACTCACGTTTGATCTTGAGAGGTCTCATGAGATTTCCCATCTGACATTGTCTGTGAATGGAATCTGTTAGTTTGCGGTGTGTTGTCTTTGCTGTGTGGCTGTATCACACACTGTAGGACCAAACTTGATATATCCATGATTTTTTATCTTCAGCCATGTGAACCAGGAAGAACATAACTGGAATTATGACAACAGAGCAAAATTGCTAAAACTTTTAAATCAAGTCACTGATTTGGGATTACATTTGATTTTGAACCAAAAACTTATCAAAACCTTTGACATGAAATATCCCAGATGTATTTACAGCCAGCTTCATCACACTGAGAACAAACATGGTCAACTTCTAACATGATGCACGTATTGACACAGTGCATGTTATTTTATAAAATTGCATTTTGTATAATGATGTCTTGATTATGATAATTTTTTACTAAAATTGATGCTAATTTAAACAAATAAATCATGACAATCGCTGCTGAGCAATAATAAGACAGCAGTGTCAGACAGCCACGCAGACACTTGTCAGGCAGTCAGCAACTTTGACACCTGACAGAAGGTTAGAGGCACTGCCTGCTGAAAATGGATGAGTTTGAGTGCACACAGTCAGAGTTTATTACAGCATGTCCCATTTTAAATATGAACTGTGCATTTATTTACAGGTCATAATTCTAAGAAGAAAAAAATTAAATCAAAATATTAAAGTAGAAAATAAAACTGTCATTTATGGACTGCAGTGGTTGATAATTGATGTATTTGTCCAATCACCCAACCCTATTATATACTCTACACATATGATCACACTGGTTTAGGGACAGGAAGTTGAATTTGTGTATGGCTTGTCCTTTGCTTTTTTTATTTGTTTTGTTTTCAAAACAATTGTAAAAAAAACAACTTTTTTGTTTGTTACTGTTTTTAAAATCTAAATGTAAAAATGTAAAGTAAAACGAATTAAAAATCAGTGTTTAACTTTTTTCTTCAGCTATCTAAATCCAAAATAAAAACAAACACCCAATTTTTATTTTTTCTGTATTTTTACGTAAAAGCCAAAGAACAAACCATACACAGATAAAATAGATATAAACTGCCCTATAAGATTTTATTGTGTTAATCTGAATGAGGTTRATATATGTAGGCTACAGATCAGAAAACAAGGGCTGATTTTAGTTAAGCCAAAGAATAATCTGCTCATTCCCACACCACCTTGCTGCATTTTTTTTTCTTTTTTTTTTTTCAACATTCGTTCCCCCGTGTTTGTTATGTGTGTCTTTCTCTTAACGGATGTTCTAAGCTGCAAGTTCCTAGTCTGTGTTTATCACTGACAATGGCAATAAAGCTGATTCTGATTCTGCATTTTTTTAATAAAATTGACAATAAACTACTGTTTCAGACATATGGGTCTTACATAGCACAGGTGTTATTATATAATGTAAGATATGTTCTGTTTAGGTAAATTTTCAGCTGGAATACAGCAGCAGCTTCAGCAGTGACAGAAGTGGGCAGTTTGGGATGAAAGCATGGACAAATGTACCTGCTGCCATGGAGAGGCATACCAGCCTGAAACCCCAGTGGTGGAGGTCGCTCTGCCAGGAACCACCTGTGGGAGCTCTGGGCACGGACCTAGGTTGCAGACTTGTTGAAGATCCAGCAAAAGTTTGGCCAAACCTCTACACCGCCGCATGGGGTACTCCACATATCTGTGTGAGAGTAGATATGTTGTTTGCTCAAAATGAATGTTCCTACAGAGATTCCCATTTGAAAACATRGAAAATGTGATTCAGAGGACAGCACACAGATGACACAGTGGGGTCTGAAGTGTCTAAGCCAGTGTATTAAAGTGTGATGAATGTCAGGGTGTGGAGCTGGAAGCACATACCCTCCCTGGGTGTCCCTCTCCCCACAGCGAAGCTCTCTTCTCTGGATGCCGGAGCCACAAGACCTGGAGCACTAAAACAGAGTGCAGGCAGGAGGGACAATTTTTAGAAAATGAACTCTTTGAGTGTTTGCGGGAGCTTCGGAGGCTTCCCGTGGCTTCAGACACCATAAGCTCACTTATCATAGCAGTAATCGAGCAACAAACACCATGCTTTACTAAGAATTTCTCAGTCTTTATGTTAAGTGGTATGTGCCTGCACTTTTCAAGAGATGTATCTGGACTTTTCATTCAATATTCAGAAACAGTGAGTGTGCAGCAAAGGCAGAAACTAGAACTATATTACTTTTCTTGAACATGTTTTCTTCAGCTGTATGATAACTACAGCGGGTGAAATAAGTATTGAACACGTCACCATTTTTCTCAGTAAATATATTACTAGAGGTGCTAATGACATGAAATTTTCACCAGATGT